CACAGCACACATGTCCAGCTCTGTTTTCTTGTGTCCTTTCAGAAGGATTAAACTCCACAGAAATATGCAAGACAACAGAAAGGAGATCATCCTCGCCGATGGATGAATAAAGAGGAAAAAAGGCTCACCTTTTTTTGCTCCAGGCAGTAAAAAAAAAAGAAAAAAAAGAAGCCTCCTGCCTGATTTCTAAGCTTTAGTGGTAACACCAGCCTCCTCCTGCCACCGCTTTCTCTGCTCCATCCCTTCACTTGAGCGCTCCTCTCTATCAGCTCCTGGCCACTCTAGTTTCAAAGATACTTTTACGCACTTGGCTTCCTCCAAAACCAGTCACCTGTAGCCGATCTCTCCCACCCACCATCTCTTGCTGCATCCTTATCTTGTCCATCTCACTCCTTCCTGTCAGTTTCACCTCCCTCACTCCCACTCACTCTTGCCCACTTAAAGTCCTTTCACTTGCTCTATTAAATCCTTCGCCTCTACCCAACCATTACCAATTTCCCTTGACCCTCTGTTTGCTATCAGCCCCTCGTCTTCCTCCTCCCCTCCACTCTCCATCCCAGTCTATGCCTATCCTCCTTATATATCCTCAGCCTTCGCTTTGCCTTCTCCCCATCTCCAGCGGCATGAATATATTATTATCTACACAATGGAGCCCTGCTTATTGTTTATGAATTACCAGCCTTGCGGCCAAACAAAGCCTATTTTCATAAGAAACCTCCATTTCATTTCAGCTCCAATTAGATTGGGGGCTAAAGAATAGGAGTCCTCAGGCCTCAGCCCCTAAGGATGGCAGGTCCATTCAGCTTCATTCAATGGGGCCTTATTGCTTTCCCATACAAAAGAGCACGTGGATGGGCTTTCAGACTGAAACACCAACCAAAAATGACTGAGACAGTACTGTACAATAACAAATCTTTAAAGAAAGGACACAGAGCGCTTATCCTCCCATCCATCAATTCATCCCTCACTCTTTGCTTTCTTCCTCTCCTCTGTTGGTACATTGTAAGACCTGGACATTAATGACAGACAGTTGAAAGAGGAAAAAAAAAGGAGAGAAAGAAAGTGAAGAAGAAAGAGGCAAAGCAGCTCAGTTTTTCACAATACATGTCAAGTCTAAATGATCACTGGCTGCTGAATAGACGAGGGGAAGGGAGAAGAAATGAGTCGTGTGCTTGGATGTGTGTGCGTACAGCTGATTGATTCTCTGCTTTGAGAAGAGGGAGAAAAAAGTGAAGGAAGGAGAGTGGAAGACCTTGATGCTTTTTCCTTTTTTTTATGAGCTGTGTAACAGTCAGAGGAGGCTGGAGTGCTATTGTGGAGCAGCAGCCTTGACAAGCTGTCACTCCATCCTGGTTACAAAACAGAGTCAAAGTGAGAAGATGGTGGGGCAGGTCAGAAATTTGACAATGAGTCTCTTGACAGGGAGAAAATGGCTCTTCGTTTTGTTTCTGTAAAGTTGGAGTTCATTTTTAGCTACAGTGGTTGTAAAAGTCTCTTTTTCCAATTTTATGACCTTAAACAACCAATTAACTCTATATTATAATATACATCAACACTGTGTGAATGTTAAACGTGACAAAAATAATTCCTGTATCTAGTCCTCTTCCCTTTAATATTGCTAAATAAAAACCTGCAAAAGCTATATCATAAACAGACATAGTGGTACACAAATAAAGTTTTAAAGTACTTTTCAAAGCTTTAAACATCTCAAAGAGCCCAGAGATAGCGTGTGGCACAACAAATTATCTACAAAGACATAGCCGACCACATAAGATGGGATGATGGACAATAAGAACTGAACTCAAAGCTGCAAAGATGCAAAGGTCTGTTTGCCTTACCGGGGGGAGGAACTCTGGTCAGAAAAAAAAAAACGAAACAAAACCGAGGGTATGAAATTTAAGATTTTTTTCCCAACAGGGCAGCTTGCATGTGGGAGAAAAAGGGTAAAACTTAATCACAAATGTTTGCTTTAGATCAAGTTATCTAAAGAGCCATTAAGAGCATAACTGAATCTGAACTGATCAGGGCTGTGCAGGAGTTTGGACAGGTGGTTTGGACAGCTGCTCAGCACGCTTCCTTTGGAGGTTTTTCAGGTACGTGAAACTCTGGGACAACCTGGGACGAAAAATGTGTCACAGAGACTCTGGAACCTTCCTGTACTAGGATCCCTTCAAACCCCTGAAAATGAGCAGGAGAGTTTAATTAGGTCAAAAGACATCAGGGTCTCTCTTTTGGATCAGTTACCTTTGCAACTGGATCTCAACTACTTACATCCAAAACAACTGGATAAAGGGTTTGTTTGTTCACAGCTAAACTGGACCTTGTAGAACCAACTATGGTAAATGGCCTGTACTTGTATAGCGCTTTTTCAAGTCAGGAGACTTGACTAAAGTGCTTTACACTACATTCAGTCATTCACCCATTCACATACACACTCACACACTGATGGTGGCAAGCTACATTGTAGCCACAGCTGCCCTGGGGCTCACTGACAGAATTGGGGGTGCCATACACTGGCGCCACCGGGCCCTCTGACCACCATCAGTAGACAATGCAGGTGAAGTGAACCAAATACAGAAAATAAAAAGGCTCATGAGCTGAAATGCAACTGGACAGTCAACCTCTTCTGGGAGGTTGACTGTCAATGAGCAAGTCAGAGTGTGGCAACACAGAGGACTCTTATCTTCCAAGATCTGCTTTCCAATACGAATGTGAATTGTTTCTTTGTTCCTGTGAGAGAATAATAAGCGTGAAACAAAAGGCGCCCTTGTTTTCATTACCTGTGAGGGACAAGGTGAGCGTCACAGTGAGAAGGTTGACATCTGCGCTCATTCATCCGACCAAAGAATCGGATCATGTCTTTCACAAAGCTTGACACAATTACCCGGACGCACAATGGATTTCAAAACCCTCCCAAAAGAAGGAAAAAACAAACTAACAGTGATGTTGTAAACATACATAAGACTCAATACATGCGACAGCCACTTCAGTCTATTGCTCTGCACTTTAGCTGATTTCCTCTAAACAAACATGACCCTTTAAGGTAGGAAATATAATTAAAGTGCTCCAATAATAAAGCACCGCCCAGGCAACAGTAATCCTGACCTATAAATGTTGGTCATCTCATGAAACTAGTGCAACTTGATGATGTAATGGAAATCCATATGGGTGAAACAACAGGGCAATAACATGGCAGGTACAACATCAGAACTAAACACATTTACTGTGCCACTGAATGAACGGATCATAAAAGTTGTGAAAATGATGGATAACTGAGGACAAATCAATAGACTTCCTCTCAGCTGTCAGGACATTTTTTTATAGAAAAAAAATCAAGCTGTCTTCTAAAGCTCTTAGAAACCCTTCATGCTAAAAGGTTTATTTACCAAAATGTGTTCTTAGTCCTTTTTAATTTCAAAATGCCAAACATGTCAATAGTGGATTTTTATAATAAACCCTAAACAAAGTAATTCTTTATCTTTCCACATTAAAAAAAATCCTGTTTTCCCAGATGGAACTCACTAAAATCCATGGTCCTTAATTTTTTAACACTTAAGTTCAGGCTAAATACAAGGAAACAGGCATAAATAAAACTAATTGCATGATGGAAAGGAATGAAGACAAAAATGCAAGTAAGCGACAAAGATGGGAAGAAAAGAGATAAAAGATGGCAGTATGGTCACAACAGATTTGGAAGATGGAGAGAATACAGGAGGAAAGCACAAAAGGAATATATAAAAAAAAGACAAAGGAAGAAACTTCAAATGAAAGAAGATAAAACAAAACTGAAATAGGAACATGAGGGAGAAAGGAAGGACGTGAGGGAAAGAGGAAAGAACAAAACAAAAATGCAAAAATGATCTAGAAAGAAGTTAAACTTTCTCAAATTAGGTGTATTTACCCTTAACCCTCTCCAGGCATATGTTGCAGATTTGCAACAGCTAAATGCCACTGAGCTAATTACTCCACATCCATATTTTAAGAGCTTTTGTTACTCAGAAGTACAACAGAAGGACTTAGTTGTGCATTTGCAACAGTTTCTCTCCAGCTCACCAGATAGCACTGCTGACTCACTTTCAACATGGCTGAGTCCTTGGTGTCACTGAAACAGATTTTCTAAGCACCAATTTCATGTAAGTATCACTACCAATTTCCATTATTTTGAAATCAATACTACATAAGATGAATCATGAATGTGTATAGAAATGACACATGCCTATTAGTAGATTTAATCTCCTCTGGGTTTTTCAAAAGAGGCATCTTGATTTCAATGTTGTGGTTTCGCAACGTGTGCCCAAACAGGCTACCAATGGATGCTACATACTTTATCTACTAGTTTGCCTATAGTTTGAGCAACAGTTTAATAGAAACAGCCTTCTCAAGAAGTTTTGAGATGTCGGTGGAGAAAAAAGTTCAGAGAAAAAGTTGTCTCTCATTTTGTGAAATTGTTTTTTTCGAATTTTGTTTTGTTAATTTTTTGTTTGTGACATTCAAATAAAGTTAACTTTCATATCAGATTCAGTCTTCTGTGTTAATTTACCACTCCGGGCCACTGTTGCAAATCTGCAACATCCCAGAATTCATTGCATGTAAAGGTCTCTCTCAAAAAAATTCTGAATTGTATATTACTACCATATATGATCATTTTCACCAAATATCAGATTTTTCCTGGAACTACAACTTAATTTGAGCCTGAGAGGGTTAATATAAGCAGGTAAATAAGATGATCTGCCAAAATAATAAAAATAATTACGGTAGATAATATGCACCTGAAATAAGACAATTGTTTTTTCTTATTTGCCCTTATTTAAATTTGTCACACTTACCTCCTCAATTAAAAAAAGTGCACTTATTTTATAGAAAACTGCCTTTTTTTTAGATCAAAATTTTTTGCAGCGAAGGATCCACAATAAGGAAATATAAAATGATGTAAAAGGAAAAGAAAACACATGAAAGAATGAAGGACAGAAGAAAACATACAAGAAAAGATGGACTTCGTTCTGATAAACATTTATTTTCCAAAGGAAAGGGCTCATGTTTTAGCAGTATTTACATCACACAGTACTAGCTTCATATCTGTACAATTCACTGAGAAGGCCATACTGCAAAGTGGTCAAACAACAAAAACAACAGATGAGAAATAAAAAAAGAAAAATCAGTACAGGCTTATAAAAAAACAACAGATCTAGGCTGTGTCAAAGATCCCTGCAAAAATGATTCAATAAAACATTAAATAACATTAGAAAGGTTATTAAGTGGAATTGTTTAAGTAGAAACTTGTCCAAAGCCTGAGGGACCATAAACACCATTAAAGTACCGTTTATGTAGCACATGATGGTCGTCCTGTCAGACTGTAAACAAACGGAGGGAAACAAAAGTCTCTTTTCCAGTTGATCCTGGTGGTAGATCTTGAAATGATAAATGGGAAGAATTATTTTTTTCTAAATACTTTCTTTTTGCTTAAAGGAATGTAATTAGGGGGACGATGGTCAACACAAATTTCTGTCCTCATTGACTGCAACACCTTTTACATCTACTCTTTATCCTGCTGACAGAACAAGCTTGTACCTTTTTTAAACCAGTGTGCACAATATAAATTTTGCATCATGTCCATTTGACATTTGTTTCTTTGCCAAAGCTACAGGTGGATCGGACCGATGAAGATCACAGGTTAGTCTCATCCCACGCCGGGTCGTTAATACTCTTCAGCACTCTCCGTACGACTTTTTCCAGATCTCTGCGCGCTCTCTGCTCCTCTTCCAGCGACCTCTTCATCTTCTTATTGTCCTGTGACCAGAAGAAAGCACTTATCTTACAGGAAAGCTATACAAAATCTAATTTTTCACCAACAAAATTGTGCATTATGGAAAGGTCACTAATGTTTTAAATGGTCTCACTAAACCAGATAATTTTTACTGTTCTCAGGGGGTGTTGTGTCTCAAAGCATCTGTCAGGTATGTAGAGCATTACATTGTTCTTCAGACTCTGATTTCTAAATATGTTCTACTTCCTGCACTAAATGATCACAGACTAATGATTTTATTTGTTGTCAAAGTTGCTTATTTCCGCTTTATGAATTGCTCAAGCATATAAAGGTTCAAACACATAAACCAGTATTGTGGAACATTAAAGACCTTAACAACCATTTCTTCTGAAAAAAGAAATCTTTCGCCATGTTATTAAAAGCATAGAGAAATAAATATTAGACACTTGCTTTTAGCTCCAACAAGGTTTCATCTACCATCTAAAACTCACTGAACAAAAATAATGCGATCCAATTGGAGCCAGTCTAAAGTCTGTTCAATTTTGAGCTTGATTTTATGGTGCTTTAATAGTTTTCTGGTTTTTTCCAACAAACTCAAAGGCAGTTGAACTTTTTGGGTCACTTCGGATCACTTAACTTTAACCTCAGTGACATCCTATTCTTAATAGGATAGATAGAAGAAAGTGAGAAGAGTGGTGAGAACTGCAGAGAGGATCATCAGGGCTCTTCTTCCCTCCATTAAAGACATTTCATCCCAGCGCTGCGTGTCCTGAGCGCGTTAACATCATCAATGATCCCTCACACCACCACCATGGACTGTTGTCCCTGCTGCCCTCTGGGAAGAGGCTTTACAGCATTCCATTTAGGACCAATAGATTATGCAACAGCTTTTACCCCACTACCATAA